GGAATGATGAGATCAACGGAAATAAAATTATTTAAGAAAGTAAATGGAAAAAAAGCAATATGTTAATTAGACTTGACAGTTTCAAAGAAGCACATAAAAAAAGAAGTCATTCATTATAGTATGTCTTAAACAAGCACATTACATCTTTTTTAAACTTACATTATAAGGAATAGAATATGTTTTTTTTTCTGCCAAATATAAGTAACAAAATGAATCTTGTTGAAGGATTTGTCTTTTTTCGTTGTTATATAATCAGAATTCTCTTATTCAAAAGTTTTTTTTCATTATTCATAGAAATTTTTTTACATACACACTTTATTTGGTTTTATAAATTCTTTTTTATGTTCAATATGATATGAATGATGGTTATGACATTTATTTGCGTTCACATCGATCATCAATGTTAAAATAATAAATAAATAAACATTGTTTATGACATGGAGATTTTATTACATTGCCTACTTGACAAATACGAATAAGTCATATGATTGATCAACAAATGAATTAACTTTTCATTGACATTATTTTACTGTGCGTTGATATATCTAGATTATGCATAGTCATTTGTCAACTAAGAATCGATCAAACAATACTGATATTCGATAGAATTCATTCAAAGACATTTTTTTCCTGATATCTACTATTTATAATAATTACAATTATCAGATCTCTATTGATTGTTTGAAAACTAAGAACACTTTGTAGCTTGAAAAGTTAATATACTCGATTAAAATAATAATAATGTTCAATTGTTGTTTGATATTCCTTTAATAAAAAACTTGAGATGGAAATCTTACACATGAGTATGATGGAAACTTCGTTTGAATGTATACTTGTCCTAATTTATTTGCGTCAATTCGATTAATCATTTTTATTTAAAACAATTTCATAGAATTACATGCAAGTAGATGATTATATGTTTTCATTTTCGAACATCAATAATTATCAATAATCACACTTATTTCTTTTTTGTTCATATAATTATAATCAACTTGATAAGACAAATAAAAAATCTTAGTCTTTTTTTTTTCATTTGACATGATCTCTGTTGTATAATTATTACAAGAATAATAAAATCTAAGTTAATTTAAAGGCGGCTGTATAACAATGCTTAAGAAAATATTGTAAATTTTAAAGAACGAATTGAAACTTTCATCGATTGTATCTGATTAAATATGAAAATCTTCATATTTTTATGGTGATTTATTAAAGAACATGAACTTTCGAATATTTATCAAATTTAATTGTTAGTATGTGGAACATCTTTTTCATTTTTACAATGAAATGTATAACATATTTTCATGGATTTTTCTTGTAAATGAGCTCTATACTTATGATAGAATAGTTTATAGTGTATACGGAAAAGAGAAAAAATAGATCTAAAGAAAAAAAAATTTTTTCAAGGTTAGAAAAAGAACATGAGATTAAATTTATAATGATAATAATTGAGTTAGAACGAGTGAAGATAATCAAGTAAAGAAAAATTAATGATTATAGAATAAGTTTGTGATCCTTTTACTTATTTTTTTTTGCTTTATCTATAAATCGTCTTTTTATTTTGGTAGCATAGAATTATGGTAATACTCATAAATCTATGACAAGTGCATTTTCTTTTTATTGAAGAAAATCACATCAAATTGATGAATTTATTTTAAGAATAATTGAAATACTTTTAGACCCATATACTTTATAAACTTATCTATTTATTTCGATTTTGATAGATTGCATCATGGCTAGTTCTCAATAAAATAGAATAGATTTTAAAAAAAATCAATTGATAATATAGTCTTATACAATTGATAAAGCATAGCATCATTCAACATTCGAATTGATGAAAAAATGTATAAATATTGTCAAGTTTTTTCGAATTTCGAATTCTTTATAGAAAAATTCGTGACATCAATGACAGATTACGATAAAGAATAGTTTCAAGCTATTTAATTCCTTCACAACAACATAAAATAACTTCATAATTATAATTGAAAAATGGCAAGGACAACTTGATAATAAAAGAATATTAAAAACAAGTTCCCTAGAAATTTATTAGTTGGCTTTATACTGAAGCTTAAGAAATGAATCAAGTAATCATGACTTTAACTTGATTCATTCTATTAGAGACGACAGTTCTGAAGATTCAATTGGTAGAAGAAGACATATGATTACAGAGATTATCAGCAAATAGATGTTTTCAGTATAGTTTAGAAATAATATTCTATGAAGATAACCAGTTACATGTAGAATCATTGTAGGACTACATTATAAAGAAAAATAAAATAAATTTATATTGTACTATTCATAGTTATAAATGCTAAATAATTTAGATAGGATACTTTCTCGGTTACATTATCAAATATATAGACAATTTAATTGATGAAGTTTCAAAATCAAATCACATCGAATTATAATTGATTATAGATACTATTTTAAAGTCAATAAAAAAGATCAGATACAATCATATTAATCGATAAATTTTGTTTAATTTTATTATGTATTGAAACTAATATAATTTGTCTATTTTGTTCTTGATGAAATTCAGTTTCGTCATTCAGTGAAATATCATTGTCATTGAACTATTAATGAAAATATTTAACAAAGAATTTTTTGTATTATTTTTAAGAAATATATGATAAAAGCAAAACATGTAGTTTGCATAAATGATATTTGTCTGAAATTTTTAAAAACAAAATAATTATAGTCAGAACAACAGATGAAATCAATGATAAGTTAAACAATTAGAAAATTAGTAAATTGAATGAATGATCAAATAATTACTGAAATAGTTTGTTAATTAATTTAAAGAACAATAAATAAAATTTACTAATATTCAATTAAATCAAAGAATAAACATAGAAATTCAATTATATTATAATGAGATTCACTTTTTATTTCTTCTTTTCTTTATTTTCTTGTGTGATATACCAAATCCAACTATTAGATACTCTGCTTCTATCTTTACGTTCTAATTCAACTTAGATCCGATATAATTAAGAAAAGACGAAAGTGTTCCAAATTGGTCAATATGGATATGATATATCAAATGAAGAAGATCTGAAAGAAAATTATGAAATAAGTGGAAACAAAAGACTTATCAAAATATCAGATTAACAAGACTATATTTGATGATGTTGAAGGAATAGAAACATTCATTGAAAATGAATTATCAAAACATAATATGAATTATACAAAAAAATGGGAGAAAAAGCTTGTTAAAGATGCAAAAAAGCCAAGCATTCTGAATCGTAATGTAGAGCAAATATTTATCAGCAATATCATGAAGACAGTGGAGAATGTTACTAATAGAGCAATATTGAAACAATGTGCACTACATCGTCTAAGCATTGATATGTGAAATGTATCGAAAGAAATGAATTTTAAGATCTCATCACATTTTTAAAAACAACATGGTCAAAAAAATAAAAAATAAAAGGAAATACACTTCGATCTCATCAAACATTCCATAAGAATATTTCAGCATAATCCATTTAGTATAATATTACATACAATAATGAAAAATGTTCGATTTTACTTATGTTGTCTCGTTTTTATAATATTCGACGGTTAACTACGGTTTTTACTTAGTTATTAGAACTCTTCTTTTCATGTACATATAGCATCTATGGATATAAAATAGAGATTCAAAATATACTGTTCTTGTTTGATTAAATTATTTTGATGATTCTCTATTCTCTTTTCTCTTCTAAATTTATATTATAAATTATATGATGTATATTCATAAGTAGCTTTTCCTGATTTGATATAAGGCATTTCTGTAAAGTTATAGTTTAATTTTTAACTATCTTCTTACGATATGCACAAAAAAACAAAAAATCTGTATTCATATCCTGTAATTTATCGTTGTATTTTGATACACCAAAGAATGAATTGTATTTTTTTATATATACTTTTGGTTGAACGACTGAATCACATGTAAGTATGTATTACTAAATTTGAATTGAGTATTAATTTATAAAATAAATTGGATATAATATATATATTGGATGAGATGTGATCAAGAACCGTCGTCAATAGACAGCTGCTGACTGAAATGAACTGGTGGTTTCTTTGTCGATTCGAAAGACATACATATAAATCAATATTAAGTGTCTAACGATTGTTTTAAGATAGTTGTTTTGTTTTAATACATTGTAAAAATGTTGCTTGTCTTGACAATTTTTTTTCGTTAGTAAACAAATGATCATCTTAACGACAGACATTTTACATCATTTTTGAAGCGTTTATGATGGTTTTTGGACTTTTATACTAAATTAGAACACATGATATTTATTTACTTTTGACTTTATTTTGGAGACAAAACAGTACTATCAAAAATATTTTAGATTTAAGTAAGTATGCAAGCGTCATAAACTTGAATTAAAAAAAATGTTTGTTTCAAATTAAACTATTTATTGTGTTAGATGTTACAAATTAGATCGCTTCTCCAAAAGCCTGCGAACGTTTCAATCCTAAATTTTAGCTTGCTTGTAAAGTTGAACCCTGATGAATCATCCATAAGTTACGAAAAGACTAAATGGATGACATTAACAAAATTTCCAAGATGAAGATTAAGTTCATCTGTGAAAATAATACTGATCGAATTTTTAGTACATCTTACGAGTCGATGTATTGATTTTACGTATTGAAAAATAAGTTAGATTATTAAATTCGTTGGACTTGTGGTAATATGCATCTTGATGAAGTATATGACTGATATGATAAACAAGAGATGGCGACATCTAGATCGAGAGACAAAAAGAAAAGATTATGGTAGTGGTAGAAATTTGCAGAATATGGAAGACGAAAATAAGAACAATTTTATCTCGATGGCTATTAGAAAAGACTTTGCCTTTTATCTACACATGGACCTACTATAACAACTCGTTCTCCAACAGTGTTTGAGCGTTGTATAGGTGTATACAACGAACAGCGCATCTAGTTTATATTGTGCTTCATTATATTTGTAATGTATGAAACAATAAATACAGTATCTATAAGTCCAAATAATGTCCACAACGAGAATACTAACAAAAGACATTGATCCATCGGAACTAAATGAATTATTTTGTGAAAATCAGAAATCATTTTACCTTTATATTGCAAATTATGCTGCTTCTGGTAGCAATGAAAATCAACAAGATACGAAACCATTGCGTCTTCATCAAATCGAAAATCTGATTGATTGTATTTTTTCACCAAATATGCATTGGAGCTTTTATAATGCAGTACTGGATACAGATATTTATAATACAATGGAAAAGTATCATCGTAATGACAAGGATAAAATAATCAAACGAATATTATCGTTAGCATCTGATTATAAGTGTCCAATGCGTGTACGAGTGAAGTCAACAGCCTTTGACACAGTAAAACTATTGAAGCATTATGGCTTTTTTGAATTACCACAAATGAATGATGAATTTCAATATTTTGATTTTTACCATAGTGATATTGTGTTAAAATATGATGTCAAGTCCGATGTAAAAATATATGAACTAAATGATTCAACACAAACCGATTGTCGAATGAGAAAATTTGAATGGGGTTATGTTTTATGCGAAAGTTTCGGATTTAGAAATCCAGAAATTTATGGACCATTTTATGCGAATGTATGGAGTCGAGTCGAAGTCGGACCAACTAAACCAGTACGAATGTTTATTGCTGTGAAGAATGATCAAGTAATTGGTGGATGCCATGTAAGTTTTGCTAATGGCATCGCTTGTTTATTTAATGTAACAACATTGAAAAATGAACGTGGAAAAGGCATTGGCAAGGCATTATCGCAAGCAGCCATGATAAGTGCTCGAGAATTGAATTATCGTTACATGGCATTGCAGGCAAGTAAAATGGGCGCACCAATATACAAAAAATTGAATTTTAAATCTATTCCATCATATAAAACATTCGTTAAAATTGCTACAGCTGCATGGTATTACAAAATAATCGAAATACTACTCGTCATGGTTGGTGTTCAGCGTTTACAACTATTTATAAAAATTATTCAAAACTATCGAACAATTTTCTAGTAGTTATCATCATTGGGATGATGATTGTGGGTATATACATAGTTACAATGTTTAAATAACTCATGGTTAGTTCGTATTCATATAAATAATTACTATAAGAATGAGAGAGTGTAACTGTCTACAAGAATAGTGAGAAGGTACCCAGTCGATCTAGTACCAGTCAGAATTCAGGCTCGTAAATACTCAGATGTTGTAATATTTAATGGTTACAACTTGAGCCATCAAAAATAAGATCGCATCTTTTATAAAGCTTCAGTCGTGTTTCAGCTCGATAACATTCAAACCTTAGTCAATACTTACAACTTTTGTCAACGAATTTTACTATTTATCTAACGTTTTAAGAATAAGCTCATAGATTTTTGCTTTGAACATACAGAATAGATTTACATATAGTTACGACATGACAAAGGTATCTTGGTTAAATGTCATTTTGTTTTCAATCGAATGCTCTATTATCTATCCAATAATTGATTATTTCAATAGAGAATTGTGTCAATCAGTAGTTGCTCAGACATCATAACAGCTCGATGATCGAAACGATGTCGTCTTTACAGTAGATCATAAGATTATGATTAATAGTTTCATATGAAATTGCAAATTGACAAAGAAAATTGTGATTGAAACAAGTATACTTTAAAAGGCAACTTTTCTATCTTCTCTTCTTCTTAATCAATACTAAATAATGACAAAGTTTAAGCTCGATAGTTTTTGCCATAGATGAAAAACTAAAACAGCGCTGTCATATACTATTTTGAAAAATTTCCTGATCATCTTGATTATTAAAGTAAAAAAAAAATAACATATTTTATAGAGAATCAAAACAAATCAATGTATCAATATTCGTGTATTTGATTATTTCCTTAATCGATAAGCAGTGTTAATCGTATTGGTATTTTATTTATCATCTGTTGTCATAAAGAATCGCTAAATTTGTTCATTCATTTTTAATATCCTTTTTCAATTGTTTCAATATCACTGTATTTTTGTCTTCATAATTTCTCTTTCAATATCTTCAAGACGTTTTCAATAGACCCGACGTGTGCTAATTTAACAGTACAACTGATTGATTCAATTCGATTGATGAAAATATGTTTAACGGCATGCCAGTCTATACTTGTGTTCTCTGTTTACGATCTTGGTCGTCCTGAAAAATGACATTTTCTTAGATCACCTAATTCGTTGACAGCTTTTTTTCTGCTACAATAGTTCGAATAAACTCAGCATGTCTCTCACCAATAAAATACATTTGTTTAAGACGACTACCACTTTCTAATCTGATCATCTCTACACATTTATTGAGAAAAACTACCATCCGATAACCTCATACTTTTCTGAAATTTGTCTTTTGGTTTTGTTTTTTTCTTTAATTCGTAAGGAATATATCGATCGCTTTCCATGATGGATGTAAGATTTATAAATGTAATACGAAAGAACGGAATAGGTTTTTTTTATCTATCGTACGTGGTTCTTGTGACATCTTTGATGGATTTAGTCAGAACGGACTGATGTTGGATCCTATATATCTCCCTGATTGATACGTGCAGGAAGAGAGAAAAAGATTGTTCAAAGATAATTTTCTGTTTAGATACATGTCACTTCAAGAAGTTTTGAATGCATAACTTTTCTGTCTTCTTCGCAACAAATTTCAGCAATATGAAATTTTCCAAAATAGTACATGATAGTGCTGTTTCAGTTTCTCGTCAATAGTAAAAGCTATTGAGCTCAAACATTGTCATTAACTAGTACTGACTATGTTCAATAATTTGTCAAAATTTTATAGAGTTTGTTTTTGTTGAAAGTGAGAACGATCAATTTTAAAATCATTTCAGAACTTCTCGCACATCCAACATATAAAACTATATATTTGTAATTAGTTGAGTGTCGATTCATGAGAATTTGCTTCAGTGACAAACTTGTATTTCAAAAAATGTCGATTGCATGATATAGTGTTGGAAACAGTCAAATTGTAAGACAGTACAAGAGACAAAAACCGAAATATTTGATATAAATCGACTGTTTTGTACAGTGGTCATGATCATAACCATGTTGAAGGGATAAAATTGTGATCAAAGATAGCTTTTGATACGATGCGTTCTATCAGAACGATTGCATGCGCTACGATGAATTTTTTTATGATAAAAAAAACCGGCCATACCTATATTACTCAATCTATCGTGCATCTTTGAACTATGACTGTATTACAGTATGAGTACTATTGCGAAACCATATTCATGTTTCGTCCTATACAATGGTAATGCGATACATACGTGTGTAAGACTTAATCTAGGGCTTGTATACTCACAGCTACATTCATTGAAACAATGAATCTAAGCGGCATTTATATATGGAGCGAGGGTATATGAACACAGATAAGTGAAAGAAAGAGGAGAACATGGAGAAAAAACAGAAGTAGTCTCACTCTATATGCATAACAACAATGGCTTTAGCAGAGCATGAAAATTCTGCAAAATAAATATTCTTTCTTTTTCGCTCTCTATGTCTTATTAGTATCTATGCATTTTCAAGATGTTTTTTTTTGTTTATTTATGTAATGAAGATTGCTATCAAAATCTATTCTTGCTAGTAGACAGTCAAAAGTCTTTACTAACAATTGAATACATAAATGAACAAATATTAGTTCGTCCGAAACTATCTAAATATTTTACTATCTTTGAAGAAGAAAATAGGAAGAGATTTTTATGCATATGCAATATATACTCATCAAATATAATTTACATATTCATTTTAGTCAAATTTATAATATTCAAGCAACGCAGTAATAAGTAGTTGTACTAAATAGTTTGAGATTTTACACTTTGTTGTTGTGACAAAATTTAATTTGAAACTTATTAGAACAAGACTGAATTGCTTACGGATAAATTGAACAGTGTGTGATATTCGCTTTATTTAAATGAGACATTTTGCATATAACATTCACTTGAAAATAATCACAGTAATAGGTCAAAAAAATTCTTGATTAAATAGATATTCTCCAAGAATTTTATATTCAATTCAGAACTTTTGTAATGGATATGGTAAAGTGTATTTTAATAAGTAGTTTTTGAACAATGATATTATAGAAACTATTCTCCTATTATGGATAAATTTTTAGATATATCTTCAATACAATTGTTATATAGAGCTAGATTGCTTAGAATCTGCAGTTTTAATACGAGAAATGAAAAAATTACATAGAATATGTTGTACTTGGAACATATGAATGAAGCGTTGAAATATTTTCTTGGGCTAATCGATTCTAAAAATAATTTTCAATGGGTTCTGTAAAGATATCATATACTCTTTTCAATAGAATATTTAGCTTTATTCTAGATGAATGCATCTAATGCAACTGCGGAGCCCTTGTTTCCATTAAACTATCCTGATTACGTATACAATTTTGCATATGGCTCCAACATGCTTCCTAGTGTTTTAACTGGTCGACGAAAAATTCATCCGATAGAATCTATTTCAGGAATATTGGAAGGATGGCAGTTGACATTCGACTTTCGTGGTATTCCTGCGGTTGAACCATGTTTTGGCAATATTAAAGAAAATCCTGATGCTGAAATTCATGGAGTCCTACATAAAATAACTAGTAAAGAATTTAAACATTTAATGGCAACTGAAGGAGGAAGTGGAGTTGATGCAACTGGATATATACCAAAAAAAGTTACTGTGCATGCATACGACGGTCGTATAATTGAAGCATATGTATTAGTTGTTCAACAGACAAGTCCAGCCATATTGTATCATCATGCATTACCAAGCAATCGTTATATTGGTCTTCTCCGTAGTGGTGCAATTCATTATAAAATTCATCCATTATATATAGAATATTTACAATCTTTACCTTCGGTTGAACATAAAAAACCTATCATTGGACTAGTTATTATTGAAATACTAATACTAACAACATCGTTTGCACCTATATGGATACCTAAAATAATTTATTTCTTATGCAAGGATCAAAAGGCACATGCACAAGCATTCTTTTTTACACTAATTATAACTAATTTATGGCGTATCTATCGTTTTTTTGGTAGAAAGAGTGCTATTCAACCATATTATTCTGCATCATTTCCTCGAGGAAGTACACGTTTCAAAGAGAATACAGAAACGTTTCGTGATGAAGTTCAGACTGATGAGCAAACTTTACCAGATACTGTATCAGACATATATTCAGAATTGATTTTATCACCAATGTCTAGTCCATTAATCAAACAACGAAAGACTAATCAAAATGTGATCGAAGAAGTTCAACAATTGTTTGATCAATGACAAAAGTACTGCGTAGATCAATATTAACTTGCTACAATAAAAGAACATAGACTGCTTCGATTTTTTTCATAAAAATGCAAATATTTGTGATTTTCCTTTGCTAGTAGATATCAGACAGAGATATTTACTATTGCAGTAATTAAGAAAATTTACTGATTAAAAAAAAACTGATTAGATTGACATATTAGTTCAATTAATTCAACAGCATTGGATAATTCTTTAAAATGTCCTCAAAAATCATGATTACTAGATATAAAACATTAATATAAGAATTGATCTTTTAAAAAACAGATCGATCTGTATTTCTTATATAGAAATGAGAAATTACTTTTCTAAATTTTTCCTTTTTCAGCATAATTAAGTTTTTGTCGAAATAAAAGTCTTTTTTTCTCTGCTAATTCCATAACATTAATGAATCAAAGTAAAAACAGATCTTTATTCTACTACGTCTTTCGTGTGATTTAATAAAATAGAAGTATTCTTTTCAGTACTTCGTTACAATAAATCACCAGTATATGAAAAATAAAATAAATAGGAAGTCAAGTAATGATCAAAAATAACAAGAAATCCATAGAGAAGGGCATATGTTGATTTTCTTTTTATCAAAATGCGAACTTGCAATGCAAATATTTCATTCTAAGCTCATTCAATAGAGGATTTTTCTCACTATCAAGCTACTAACAAAAATCAGAAACGATCGATAACTATTCAACTGCCCAATTACCATCGAGAAACAGCATAAAAATGATTAACAAAGTTTTTTTTCTAGAAACCAACGATTTGAATGTGAAATCTTTCAAGAAAAAAGAACTTTTTTCTGATAAATCTACATCATTGTTTGTTTGTGATTAAAAATACTACAAAGATCTTCTTTATTTCGTTGAAATGTTACATTGTTGTTTTGTTAAGAAAATGAAACTTTCGAAGAATGTGTCTAACTTTTGAAATTCCACACATCGAAAGTGTATTCGGATAAATATCGCTAAATGTTAGTTACAAGGTATTTGTACATGAACGACATAATCAAGTCATATTTCATAAAATTGTCTGTCTATTAATAATAAATATCTGACTTTTACTAACGAGCTTGCTAAATAATGGCTTGTAGAAATCATTAGATACACACACAGAATATGACAGACAATCATAGCTGAACAGTTGAGTGGCTACAAGTCTTTGGTAATGTTTGTTAACAAGTTCAATTTATTTGAAAAATCTAATTCACAATATAGTAGAAAGAAAAATTCTCTATCGAGTGAGTTTAAAATGAACTTTTTGAACTGTATTTTTGGTCTTTATAGAAAAAAAAATTGAATTATCCAATTATTTATGGATCATCAGTAATATTTATAATTAAATAAATGAAACATAAAAGATGTATTTTATTTACAACAGAATCCGAAAAGAAAGATCTTTTATCAATAATAGCACCTGGCTGAAAAGTTGGGTGTGGGTGTGGGTGTGGGTTATTCCTTCCACTACACCGATACCCACATTGACACTCACTCACACCCAATCCACGAATTCTTTGATATTCACTACATGAGAACACGATAAATAATTATTTATCCCATTGGAAAAAGGCAATTTAAAAAAAAGTCACAAAAAATAACATATCCAGATCCACCATCCTTAATATTAGAACTTATGATTTTCCTTATTTTTCGAGAACGATTTCTGCAAGCTTCGTTGACTTCTGATTGATTCATTTGAGCTTCAGCGAGTCCCAATTGGAATTCGCTAACAAGTTCGTGCTAAAATCCGATTGCAACGAAATTGTCGAAAGTGAATGGAACCTGCTGGAACCATAATGACCTGGATATATAGACGCAATATATAAATACATAGAAGTCCGTTCGAATTACGACGTCATGGTCAAGATTCCGAATTAGATACTGTTTGTGTTCTCTTTTCAAGTCGAATCCAAACGTCATCTGGTGTTATCAATGTTAATTCTCTTATATTGAAATGGGATTCGAGCTTTCGTGATTTCATTACAGTATATTTCCGAAGTAGGTTTACCAGAAATAATTTCATTTCAAGTAGAACAAATCTCTTTCCAACACAATTCCTTGGACCGTTGCCAAACGCCATAAAAGCCATTGGTGATCGTTGTTTGTCTCGATGACGATCGGGATAAAATTCGTATGGATCATGAGGACCCCAAAGTTCAGAATTATAATGGATCGAATAGATATCAGGTTGTATAATATCACCTAAAATAATTTCAGAATTGAATTTAGACTAAGCAATGTAAGAAAACTTTCTTCATGGTTACCTTTAGAAATATGTTGGTTACAAACAATTGTGTCATTGAGACAAAGACGATTAACAAATGATATTGGTATTGGATACATACGAAGAACTTCTTTGATAAATAAATCCAATTGTTCCAATTCGTTGATATCACTTAACGGTGAATGATCAATTTCTTTTTGTAATTTGATTTGTTCATGTGGATACAATGCCAATATATACGTTGCACAAGCTAGAGCTGTCGATGTTGTTTCATAGCCGGCTATTAAAAATAAAAATACATTCATAATAACTTCATCATGTGTCAATTTCCTTTGTATTCCATTTGTTATTTCACCCTGAAAGATAGAAAAAGGGTGTGGATGTGGGTGTGGGTGTGGGGTGTGGGTGTGGGGTGTGGGTGTGAGTGTGTGGATGTGTTTTGTCATTTATTCTATACCCACGCCCACACCCACACCCACACCCCACACCCACACCCACACTCACACCCACACCCACACTCACACCCACGCCCACACCACCCACACCCTTTCGGATTTTCGTATGAAGATATTTTCGCAATTAGTTATGTTCTAGTGCACCTAACAGATCGATAACTTTTCCCTCGTTACTATCTATAATGACTGCAAACTCGAATAGATCATGACTTGCAAAAGAATCGACGAGCAGAATTGAATCTGTCAATAAAGCTTGCCTATAGCTAACGTAGTCAACCATTTTTCATAGGTTTGATATGACTAAGAACTAAACTTATTTTGCAAGAAGATGTATAAAAGTTTTACAAGATGTTCTAAAAATCATTTTCTAAAAGTTTTTTTTATACATCTTTGCTATTTGATTTTACTGTTTCAACTATTTTGTTAATGTTAAGTCAATATACAGAGTTTTTATTTCTACGAACATATCTCTCATGGACTGTTTGTAGCATCTGTCTTTAACTAAAGCAGAACAAGTTTCTCTTTTTCTCTAGATTTTTCCAGTTATTTCGATGCTTAAATTGTCAAGATGCTTTAACATTTGTCTTTACATGTCTTAGCAAAAATAAATCAAAATGTGTTGAGGGAACTGATCAATGTGAGGAGAAATTACTCTTCTTTTTTTTGAGTAATTGTTAATTAATCGAAGATGTTTTCACTTTGTATACCAATAAATATCGATTATCATTCAGACGACATTTTCAATGTGAATATTTGTCTTATATTCCTAACGAAATAAGTATCAAAAGCGTTTAGAACAGTTTTATTGAAATTAGTTGGATCGATGATCGTCAACAGTCACAAAATGCTTGTCACTAACACACTCAAAATTCGATAAAATTGTTTGTCTTGTAGAATACACCCAAGAAACAAACCAATATCCGTCGACTTTCTTGAAAGATAAGAATATTTTAAAACTAAACATACTTCAAACTATGTATCAGCTATCAGCTTCTTTTCTAACCAAGCTATTTTTCAAATATCGAATATGATTAATAAACATATTACCGTATTTCGATTCAAAATAATCGTTTTGTTGCTGTAGAAATCTCAATAATTTCAGAAAAGCTTACATTATGATTTGCAAAGTCGAGAAATTCAATCATTGAATCAGTTTTGTTTCTGAAGAACAGAATATTTGATTAAGAAAATAATCATTGAGGTTTTGAATGTGTGTGGATGTGTCGGTGTGAATGAATATTTTTTTTTGATGCACACTCACACCATTTCACACCCACATACTAAAGTAAATCCTGACTGAAAACCTCTCCAACACCGGAAAATATACAAGGTCTGGTTTAATGATCTCAAATTCTCACCTCAGTTTCAACAGAAAAGAAAGTAGTCAAAAGAGAAATACAATTTAGCAGGAGGGAAGCACGACTTCGTTTGATGAGTAAAACTAATTATCAACCATTCATTTTTAATTAAGATAATGTAAGTTTATCAAAGATAAAATTGAAGAAATTCTGGATGATTGCAAATCGATTCTTTTGTCAATATTGAGGAGCAAAAAAGGGGAACAAAACGAAGAAAATGTTCTAAAAATCTTTTGAAAAATAATGATTAAATATTCATCATCATCCGTAGTAACAAGAACAGAGTATTTTAACAAAAGGTACAAATAATTTCATTAGAAATAACAAATAAAATAATGAAACAAGAACATTACTTTATAGAATGACATATATTATCAATTTAACTAATTAATATATAACAACTTCTCAGAAAATATAATAAAAGATCAAGTAGAAAACTAGACATCAGTTGACCAATTCGAGCATCTTCATTTGAGAATATGAAAAGGAACATAATAAGATTTTTGATTGTCCAGATTTTTTCAAAGAATATCTTGTCAAACATACATATTTAGTATGACAATATGTGTGAAGTTTTGAAAATCGTCTCCATCAATAAAAGATACATATTGACGGTAAAAATACAGAAAAAAAATGAAAACAATGACAGCAACGAGTGACAACAAAACATTGATTAGTACAATAGTTGTCTAACAAAATTGCTTACTTAAATATTTGTTTTTGTTTTATTCAACATTATTTTTATATTTATCAATCGAATTACAATAGAATGTATTTTTATATTCTTTTCATCATTTTCAAGTGTTTTTCTTTGTCAATAAAATCTCTAAGAGCCTATTTTCGAACTGTATTTGAGAGATTCAAATAGAATTTTCTTATAGAATTACAACATCCAACTAGAGCCTACAAAATTGTTTTTATGAATTTTTACTTATTTTTAGACTTTTTTTTCATAGTTCGATGTATTTTATAGATAAATATGCTTAATAAACTATTTCAATGAAACATATATCAATGAGTAGATTGAATGTTTTTTTTTCTGTATATTAGTGAAGAGTTTCGCTTTCATTTATGAAGGAGATATTTATATCAATTTATCAGAGATACTATACTATTTATTGCCAATATACTGATCCTATCATATATGAAAATAGACTATTCCATCAAATAATCTTGAAAGTAGATAATGAGTCCCTGTTAGTCTGAAGATGGATGCAACATTGAGTACAATGAGATGTCATATAGTCAAGGAAATTCTCTAGATCCACTGAAAATGATCATTTTTAATTATAAAGAAAGTATCGATGAAAACTATTGATTAGAAAAGATTGAAGAATACCTATAATTTTATTGAATTGAGTTAAACAGCAAATTTGCATAAATAGACTTAATTTTGTATATATATCATTCGAGGCGTTACAATCTGCTCTAAAAGACCATATATATATATATATGGTATCCTAGTTCAAGAGAAGTCACCAAGTTGAGTAAAGTCCTCTGACTATTTTGAAGAAAAAATTGGCTTGATTGAATACATCGAGTCAAGATAAAATGCAATTTGTCGAATAGTCGTTATTTATAATCGTTGT